TAGAGGGCTCAGTCTCTCTATACACACAGCCCTAGAGGGCTCAGTCTCTATACACACAGCCCTAGAGGGCTCAGTCTCTATACACACAGCCCTAGAGGGCTCAGTCTCTATACACACAGCCCTAGAGGGCTCAGTCTCTCTATACACACAGCCCTAGAGGGCTCAGTCTCTATACACACAGCCCTAGAGGGCTCGGTCTCTATACACACAGCCCTAGAGGGCTCGGTCTCTATACACACAGCCCTAGAGGGCTCGGTCTCTCTATACACACAGCCCTAGAGGGCTCAGTCTCTATACACACAGCCCTAGAGGGCTCAGTCTCTATACACACAGCCCTAGAGGGCTCAGTCTCTCTATACACACAGCCCTAGAGGGCTCAGTCTCTCTATACACACAGCCCTAGAGGGCTCAGTCTCTCTATACACACAGCCCTAGAGGGCTCAGTCTCTATACACACAGCCCTAGAGGGCTCAGTCTCTATACACACAGCCCTAGAGGGCTCAGTCTCTATACACACAGCCCTAGAGGGCTCAGTCTCTCTATACACACAGCCCTAGAGGGCTCAGTCTCTCTATACACACAGCCCTAGAGGGCTCAGTCTCTATACACACAGCCCTAGAGGGCTCAGTCTCTCTATACACACAGCCCTAGAGGGCTCTATACACACAGCCCTAGAGGGCTCAGTCTCTATACACACAGCCCTAGAGGGCTCAGTCTCTATACACACAGCCCTAGAGGGCTCAGTCTCTCCATACACACAGCCCTAGAGGGCTCAGTCTCTCTATACACACAGCCCTAGAGGGCTCAGTCTGTATACACACAGCCCTAGAGGGCTCGGTCTCTCTATACACACAGCCCTAGAGGGCTCGGTCTCTCTATACACACAGCCCTAGAGGGCTCAGTCTCTATACACACAGCCCTAGAGGGCTCAGTCTCTATACACACAGCCCTAGAGGGCTCAGTCTCTCTATACACACAGCCCTAGAGGGCTCGGTCTCTCTATACACACAGCCCTAGAGGGCTCAGTCTCTCTATACACACAGCCCTAGAGGGCTCAGTCTCTATACACACAGCCCTAGAGGGCTCAGTCTCTATACACACAGCCCTAGAGGGCTCAGTCTCTCTATACACACAGCCCTAGAGGGCTCAGTCTCTATACACACAGCCCTAGAGGGCTCAGTCTCTATACACACAGCCCTAGAGGGCTCAGTCTCTCTATACACACAGCCCTAGAGGGCTCAGTCTCTATACACACAGCCCTAGAGGGCTCAGTCTCTATACACACAGCCCTAGAGGGCTCAGTCTCTATACACACAGCCCTAGAGGGCTCAGTCTCTATACACACAGCCCTAGAGGGCTCAGTCTCTATACACACAGCCCTAGAGGGCTCAGTCTCTCAGTCTCTCTATACACACAGCCCTAGAGGGCTCAGTCTCTCTATACACACAGCCCTAGAGGGCTCAGTCTCTCTATACACACAGCCCTAGAGGGCTCAGTCTCTATACACACAGCCCTAGAGGGCTCAGTCTCTATACACACAGCCCTAGAGGGCTCAGTCTCTCTATACACACAGCCCTAGAGGGCTCAGTCTCTCTATACACACAGCCCTAGAGGGCTCAGTCTCTCTATACACACAGCCCTAGAGGGCTCAGTCTCTCTATACACACAGCCCTAGAGGGCTCAGTCTCTCTATACACACAGCCCTAGAGGGCTCAGTCTCTCTATACACACAGCCCTAGAGGGCTCAGTCTCTATACACACAGCCCTAGAGGGCTCAGTCTCTATACACACAGCCCTAGAGGGCTCAGTCTCTATACACACAGCCCTAGAGGGCTCAGTCTCTATACACACAGCCCTAGAGGGCTCAGTCTCTCTATACACACAGCCCTAGAGGGCTCAGTCTCTCTATACACACAGCCCTAGAGGGCTCAGTCTCTCTATACACACAGCCCTAGAGGGCTCAGTCTCTCTATACACACAGCCCTAGAGGGCTCAGTCTCTCTATACACACAGCCCTAGAGGGCTCAGTCTCTCTATACACACAGCCCTAGAGGGCTCAGTCTCTCTATACACACAGCCCTAGAGGGCTCGGTCTCTCTATACACACAGCCCTAGAGGGCTCGGTCTCTCTATACACACAGCCCTAGAGGGCTCGGTCTCTCTATACACACAGCCCTAGAGGGCTCAGTCTCTCTATACACACAGCCCTAGAGGGCTCGGTCTCTCTATACACACAGCCCTAGAGGGCTCGGTCTCTCTATACACACAGCCCTAGAGGGCTCGGTCTCTCTATACACACAGCCCTAGAGGGCTCGGTCTTTCTATACACACAGCCCTAGAGGGCTCGGTCTTTCTATACACACAGCCCTAGAGGGCTCAGTCTTTCTATACACACAGCCCTAGAGGGCTCAGTCTTTCTATACACACAGCCCTAGAGGGCTCAGTCTCTATACACACAGCCCTAGAGGGCTCAGTCTCTATACACACAGCCCTAGAGGGCTCAGTCTCTATACACACAGCCCTAGAGGGCTCAGTCTCTATACACACAGCCCTAGAGGGCTCAGTCTCTATACACACAGCCCTAGAGGGCTCAGTCTCTCTATACACACAGCCCTAGAGGGCTCAGTCTCTCTATACACACAGCCCTAGAGGGCTCAGTCTCTCTATACACACAGCCCTAGAGGGCTCAGTCTCTCTATACACACAGCCCTAGAGGGCTCAGTCTCTCTATACACACAGCCCTAGAGGGCTCAGTCTCTCTATACACACAGCCCTAGAGGGCTCAGTCTCTCTATACACACAGCCCTAGAGGGCTCAGTCTCTCTATACACACAGCCCTAGAGGGCTCAGTCTCTCTATACACACAGCCCTAGAGGGCTCAGTCTCTCTATACACACAGCCCTAGAGGGCTCAGTCTCTCTATACACACAGCCCTAGAGGGCTCAGTCTCTCTATACACACAGCCCTAGAGGGCTCAGTCTCTATACACACAGCCCTAGAGGGCTCAGTCTCTCTATACACACAGCCCTAGAGGGCTCAGTCTCTCTATACACACAGCCCTAGAGGGCTCGGTCTCTCTATACACACAGCCCTAGAGGGCTCAGTCTCTCTATACACACAGCCCTAGAGGGCTCAGTCTCTCTATACACACAGCCCTAGAGGGCTCAGTCTCTCTATACACACAGCCCTAGAGGGCTCAGTCTCTCTATACACACAGCCCTAGAGGGCTCAGTCTCTCTATACACACAGCCCTAGAGGGCTCAGTCTCTCTATACACACAGCCCTAGAGGGCTCAGTCTCTATACACACAGCCCTAGAGGGCTCAGTCTCTCTATACACACAGCCCTAGAGGGTCTCTCTATACACACAGCCCTAGAGGGCTCAGTCTCTCTATACACACAGCCCTAGAGGGCTCAGTCTCTATACACACAGCCCTAGAGGGCTCAGTCTCTATACACACAGCCCTAGAGGGCTCAGTCTCTATACACACAGCCCTAGAGGGCTCAGTCTCTCTATACACACAGCCCTAGAGGGCTCAGTCTCTCTATACACACAGCCCTAGAGGGCTCAGTCTCTCTATACACACAGCCCTAGAGGGCTCAGTCTCTCTATACACACAGCCCTAGAGGGCTCAGTCTCTCTATACACACAGCCCTAGAGGGCTCAGTCTCTCTATACACACAGCCCTAGAGGGCTCAGTCTCTCTATACACACAGCCCTAGAGGGCTCAGTCTCTCTATACACACAGCCCTAGAGGGCTCAGTCTCTCTATACACACAGCCCTAGAGGGCTCAGTCTCTCTATACACACAGCCCTAGAGGGCTCAGTCTCTCTATACACACAGCCCTAGAGGGCTCAGTCTCTCTATACACACAGCCCTAGAGGGCTCAGTCTCTCTATACACACAGCCCTAGAGGGCTCAGTCTCTCTATACACACAGCCCTAGAGGGCTCAGTCTCTCTATACACACAGCCCTAGAGGGCTCAGTCTCTCTATACACACAGCCCTAGAGGGCTCAGTCTCTCTATACACACAGCCCTAGAGGGCTCAGTCTCTCTATACACACAGCCCTAGAGGGCTCAGTCTCTCTATACACACAGCCCTAGAGGGCTCAGTCTCTATACACACAGCCCTAGAGGGCTCAGTCTCTCTATACACACAGCCCTAGAGGGCTCAGTCTCTCTATACACACAGCCCTAGAGGGCTCAGTCTCTATACACACAGCCCTAGAGGGCTCAGTCTCTCTATACACACAGCCCTAGAGGGCTCAGTCTCTCTATACACACAGCCCTAGAGGGCTCAGTCTCTATACACACAGCCCTAGAGGGCTCAGTCTCTATACACACAGCCCTAGAGGGCTCAGTCTCTATACACACAGCCCTAGAGGGCTCAGTCTCTCTATACACACAGCCCTAGAGGGCTCAGTCTCTATACACACAGCCCTAGAGGGCTCAGTCTCTATACACACAGCCCTAGAGGGCTCAGTCTCTATACACACAGCCCTAGAGGGCTCAGTCTCTCTATACACACAGCCCTAGAGGGCTCAGTCTCTATACACACAGCCCTAGAGGGCTCAGTCTCTATACACACAGCCCTAGAGGGCTCAGTCTCTCTATACACACAGTCCTAGAGGGCTCGGTCTCTCTATACACACAGTCCTAGAGGGCTCAGTCTCTCTATACACACAGCCCTAGAGGGCTCAGTCTCTATACACACAGCCCTAGAGGGCTCGGTCTCTCTATACACACAGCCCTAGAGGTGTCCCTGTTGCCCCTGACTGTGACCTCTGACCTTTCCGCTTCCGGTTTCCCCCACAGTCCAGTATTGAGGATTAACGTCGAAGTTATGACGTCATCGCGCATACATCCAGTTTCAGCCAATCAGAGCTAGGGACAGAGACACGCCCCCTGCTGTGTTTGGCAGCTGCACGTGGTGAGCGATGAACCAATATCGAGCTAGGATGGATGGGGCGGGGACACAACAGCCAATCAGAGGAGAGAATGTGGACGCCATGTTGGAGGAGGCAATGTGTGATCAAAACACTGAGTCTATCTATAAACACTGAATGTGAGAATATTGAGATTAACCCCATAAACACTGAATGTGAGAATGAGATTAACCCCATAAACACTGAATGTGAGAATATTGAGATTAACCCCATAAACACTGAATGTGAGAATATTGACATTAACCCCATAAATACTGAATGTGAGAATATTGAGATTAACCCCATAAACACTGAATGTGAGAATATTGAGATTAACCCCATAAACACTGAATGTGAGAATATTGAGATTAACCCCATAAACACTGAATGTGAGAATATTGAGATTAACCCCATAAACACTGAATGTGAGAATATTGAGATTAACCCCATAAACACTGAATGTGAGAATATTGAGATTAACCCCATAAACACTGAATGTGAGAATATTGAGATTAACCCCATAAACACTGAATGTGAGAATATTGAGATTAACCCCATAAACACTGAATGTGAGAATATTGAGATTAACCCCATAAACACTGAATGTGAGAATATTGAGATTAACCCCATAAACACTGAATGTGAGAATATTGAGATTAACCCCATAAACACTGAATGTGAGAATATTGAGATTAACCCCATAAACACTGAATGTGAGAATATTGAGATTAACCCCATAAACACTGAATGTGAGAATATTGAGATTAACCCCATAAACACTGAATGTGAGAATATTGAGATTAACCCCATAAACACTGAATGTGAGAATATTGAGATTAACCCCATAAACACTGAATGTGAGAATATAGAGATTAACCCCATAAACACTGAATGTGAGAATATTGAGATTAACCCCATAAACACTGAATGTCAGAATATTGAGATTAACCCCATAAACACTGAATGTGAGAATATTGAGATTAACCCCATAAACACTGAATGTGAGAATATTGAGATTAACCCCATAAACACTGAATGTGAGAATATTGATTAACCCCATAAATACTGAATGTGAGAATATTGAGATTAACCCCATAAACACTGAATGTGAGAATATTGAGATTAACCCAATAAATACTGAATGTGAGAATATTGAGATTAACACCATAAATATGGAATGTCAATATATTGAGATTAACCCCATGAATAATGAATGTGAGAATATTGAGATTAACCCCATAAACACTGAATGTGAGAATATTGAGATTAACCCCATAAACACTGAATGTGAGAATATTGAGATTAACCCCATAAACACTGAATGTGAGAATATTGAGATTAACCCCATAAACACTGAATGTGAGAATATTGAGATTAACCCCATAAACACTGAATGTGAGAATATTGAGATTAACCCCATAAACACTGAATGTGAGAATATTGAGATTAACCCCATAAACACTGAATGTGAGAATATTGAGATTAACCCCATAAACACTGAATGTGAGAATATTGAGATTAACCCCATAAACACTGAATGTCAGAATATTGAGATTAACCCCATAAACACTGAATGTGAGAATATTGAGATTAACCCCATAAACACTGAATGTGAGAATATTGAGATTAACCCCATAAACACTGAATGTGAGAATATTGAGATTAACCCCATAAACACTGAATGTGAGAATATTGAGATTAACCCCATAAATACTGAATGTGAGAATATTGAGATTAACCCCATAAATACTGAATGTCAGAATATTGAGATTAACCCCATAAATACTGAATGTGAGAATATTGAGATTAACCCCATAAATATGAATGTCAGAATATTGAGATTAACCCCATAAACACTGAATGTGAGAATATTGAGATTAACCCCATAAATACTGAATGTGAGAATATTGAGATTAACCCCATAAACACTGAATGTGAGAATATTGAGATTAACCCCATAAACACTGAATGTGAGAATATTGAGATTAACCCCATAAACACTGAATGTGAGAATATTGAGATTAACCCCATAAACACTGAATGTGAGAATATTGAGATTAACCCCATAAACACTGAATGTGAGAATATTGAGATTAACCCCATAAACACTGAATGTGAGAATATTGAGATTAACCCCATAAACACTGAATGTGAGAATATTGAGATTAACCCCATAAACACTGAATGTCAGAATATTGAGATTAACCCCATAAACACTGAATGTGAGAATATTGAGATTAACCCCATAAACACTGAATGTGAGAATATTGAGATTAACCCCATAAACACTGAATGTGAGAATATTGAGATTAACCCCATAAACACTGAATGTGAGAATATTGAGATTAACCCCATAAACACTGAATGTCAGAATATTGAGATTAACCCCATAAACACTGAATGTGAGAATATTGAGATTAACCCCATAAACACTGAATGTGAGAATATTGAGATTAACCCCATAAACACTGAATGTGAGAATATTGAGATTAACCCCATAAACACTGAATGTCAATATATTGAGATTAACCCCATAAACACTGAATGTGAGACTATTGAGATTAACCCCATAAACACTGAATGTGAGAATATTGAGATTAACCCCATAAACACTGAATGTCAATATATTGAGATTAACCCCATAAACACTGAATGTGAGAATATTGAGATTAACCCCATAAATATGAATGTCAGAATATTGAGATTAACCCCATAAACACTGAATGTGAGAATATTGAGATTAACCCCATAAACAGTGAATGTGAGAATATTGAGATTAACCCCATAAATACTGAATGTCAATATATTGAGATTAACCCCACAAATACTGAAGGTTGGAATCTGCAACTTATTCCCCTCCCCCCCACACACACAATCAGGGTGTTTCCTGTGTCTTCGTATTAGAGACACAGGCAGTATCGGTAATTGACATAATCATGACATTGGGGACATTATCAGGGTGTGTTATGGGCGAACATGGAAGTCTGTGAGAGGGAAAAGGGAGCGTTGATTAGCGGTATGAATCCAGGGTCCGAATTAGGTAAACAATGCTAGTGGGAGAAACTGGGTTAGGGATTATGGGAAAGAAATAAGGTTGTAAAGAAGGTGGACAGATATAAAATGAAATAATGGCCAGACATCAAATCAAAGGTTCTAGGCATATATAAAGTAATAACGACTCTGTAGTGCAAAACATAACCAACACAACTCCCGGTTAACAGTTTGGTTTTTTATTAAATCTTCCAATTTTATCTGTACAGAAAAAAAAATGCACAATATGTTCGGGACATTGGTAACATTTTAATGACACATAATGAAGAGGAAAAAGACAGTCTGATTTTATACACAGAGGAAAACAATTTACAAAAATGGATTCATGGAAAAATGAATAAAAGAGGCAATGAATATTGATTTCTTTTGACATCAGGTAAGTCATTCCCTGTCTGGGTAGATGAGGTGTCCAGTGTATGTCCTCCAAATGTCATGCTGGAGGGGTATTCGAGCTGTGCTCTTTGTAGGGAAGGCCTGTAATTATACCATTCTAATCTGCCCTTAGGGTTTCCCAAGTAGCGTTCAACAATTTGCATTACATGCACTCAGACAGAATTCAAGGGACTAGATTTGCCATAAGGGAGAGTAAGACTTTGTTTAAAAAGAGTGGCTTTCTAAAAATAAAATAAAAAATACAAGCACTTGTATCAAAGATTTTACCTATAACAACTCTTAGGTTCGGACTATAATTCTACATCTTGCTTGCTACTGAATTTTGGAAGAGAAACCATTTATTTTAGACAAACCGCGTATCCTGGTCTGGAAAGAGAGTCTGGATCACGGGCACTAAGACAGGTTAGTCGTCAACATGGTTTGTACCAGGTTAATGATCCAAGCTTGCTTACCGAGGGCGGCGGATAGTTTGTAAGCAGCTTTGCACAATGACTGCTTCTTCCTCCTCAGCTGCTGTCAGAGAATGCAGATCTGAGATCCCTTGTTAAACACCTAAGCTGGTTTGTAATCCAGTGCTATTTACCAAATCATGATTTTACACCGTCTTGTATATTAGTGGGTCTACGTCTGATTGTAATCTGAAGGCAGACCGAGAGCTATAGCTGGTTTGGAGATAAATATCAGATGCCCTCCATCACAGCAGTTATTACGACTACGTCTTGGCAGTAAATATTTAGCATGCAGTTTTATTATCAGATATTCTCTAAACAGCCACCTGTAGACTACTGGCCATAGACTTAAGACAGTAAATATGTGAATTATACTGACAGAATGCAAGCCCTGCACTGATTGGCTGCTAGAGGCTACGGGGTCACTGTACTAAAAATCCCAACTCAGAACAAAGGTTAGAGGGTGTTCTGCTCACTAAAGAAAGAGGTCAATGGGCTAATCCATGTTCTGCGAAGGGAACCGTTAAAAAAGTAAATTCCTGGGGATGGGAAGGGTTAAACCAACTGACTAGCAGCTGTATGATTAAAATAACCTGTTGTGTGCCAGTCAGCGGTTATTAAAATGAATGAACAGCATTCGATAGAATAATGCTCATGAATAATAATTTAAAGATAGCATTTAGTGTCATGTAACCATCCATTAATATACATGAACTTAACGAAAGCAAACAGGGCTTTGGATGAAGTAGGAACAAAAATGATCCACGTTTCACAAAATATTCACATTCAAGACTTAAAGGTTACTGTATCCTCCAAAAACAAAATAATACCACTTTATATGGTTCAGATTTGGGGGGTCTCTAAAACAGGGGAGCATTGCTGGTATAAAAGGGAGACTGTGTCCCCACTTGGCACCTGTGGGTCGAGAGCAGGATGAAGGGAGATTCAGGAATGACCACCTGTTTTATACCAGCAGTGCAAGCAGGGTGATGGGCTGGGCCCCCACACATTGAACAAATTCGGCAGAGCAATTCTAAAGTCTCAAAATGGGATTGAATGACGATCTGTCGGAGCCCAACAACTTGCAGCAAAATCAAATCCCCAACAGGTTTCACAATGCATTCATCATTGGAAAGAGCAAGATTAGTAAAACAGGTCAGGTTTAAAGACAGACAGAAACTGAGCTTTAAAGGTGCAACTTGCTCTAAAAACAGTAATGGGGTGTATGGTAGAACGTCTTCTGCTTATCCTTTAATGTGGAAGACAAGAAGCGCAATAAAAAACTAAAAATGACATGTTTGCATGATGGCTGTGATTAATCAATGATTTTTACTGTAACTAACGAAAAGAAGAGAGGGGGAGGAGACAAGCTGCACCATTAAAAACTCCTGTTTACATGATGGTTGAAAATTTAAATACCCCAACATGATTCTTCGTGCAAATCTTATCACTAAAGCACATTGCTGGGGGAGAAAGGAGTGTAGAGGAGGAGTCCAAAAGTTCAAGGTTTTGGCAGACCAGGAGCCAAAAGGTTTGCACAAATCCCGTCTCACAGACGTCCAGGCTCAGGAAGGGTCAGAAAGTGCACAATCCTTAATACCCCCACACATCCCAAGAGCATGAGGCAGAGAGAGCATCCCCGAGGCACGATTCCTGCTCTCGGAGGCATGTCCTTAAAATAATTAAACATACTCCCAATACCCTCTCTCCCAAAGACAAAAATAAACAGTTAAATCCAAGAGAGCAACACGGCACTAGGTAAAGAATGGATTCTGTGCGGGGATCGAAGGCCATTTCAAGTGGTCGGGGTTATAGTTGGCATCTGCAGCTGGTCAGAGTAACTGCGGGCTAGATGAATAGAAGGGGAAGAGATGCAGATTGAGACATGGGTGGATGGGGAGAGGGTGGAGGAGAAGAGGACTTATCCCAAATATTTCCATTGCTCCCTCCAAATTCCACTGCAGTTAAAAGAGTGGGAAGGAGGAAGATGGGACTGGACTACATGGGAGAGCTGTACACATGGTGACAGGCCTGCCCTCCCTCCCCCAGTGCCCCTACTTTTCAAAGCTCTTGATCGGGGTGAAGGAGGGTGTCCATTGCTCTATCTGTTTTTCATCTCACGTGTCACCCTCTTGGTGATGCGCCCACAAAAAAGGCCCCCAAAAAACAGCACACACACCCCAACCATGAGGATAGACAGGAAGTAGTTTTTGGACGGAGAGCTCATCACTTGCATGGCCAAGTCGGAAAAGCCTTCAGCTGGCGCCACCTACAGGATGAAAACAACAAGTTCACACAAAGACTGCTCAACCAGAATTGTCTTTTCTTTCATATAAAGTGTACCCCTACTTATACCTGTATATCATTTTGTTCAGGAGAAACCGAGCTTGCATTTCACATTAAAATATTTAGCTATGAAACATAAATTTACAAGTAATTCTAAAAAGTGAGAGAAATTAAAACATGTTATTTTCCAAGTTCTGGACCGCATTTTAAAGGGACCAAATTAACGTCCTTAATGAAGCAGTGTTGGTGTATAGATCAGGCTCCTGCACTCTGCCCGCTCAATTCTCTGCCATTTAGGAGTTAAATCACTTTGTTTATGCAGCCCTATAGTCACACCTCCCAGGATAAGACTGACACCGGTATTATGGTCATTAAACGTTTTTACTGCTCTAAAACAATTGTTTGTGATCAGCGGTGTCTCACCAGAACAACAGTACCCCCCATGTACATGTTTTATTGGGATATAGAAAGTTACAGGGTAATGTATAGGGCTTTAAAAAAATAAATATATATATATATATATATACACACACACACACTTTCATTCAAGTGTATATTAATGTACTATTTTTACATAATTAAGAGACTTTATGAATTCTATGTTGAGGGATTTGCCTGACAATCCCCCTGCAGCCAAATCGCGACTCTGAATCGGTGGGACTGTCTGCCTTTATTGTCAGGTAGCCCCCGCCCCTGATCAGGTCTGACGGGGAACGGAAGTATACAGGCTGGAGGGAGGACCCTAATGTCAAGATAGGGATAAAAACATACCAATGACTTATAACAATTTAGTAAATATTACCTCCAAAGAAAACATGCTTTTATTTTTTCTACATGTCTTCGAAGATATATGAAAAAAATAGCTTGCAAATGCTGCAGACCTGCTGCCTATCTTTGCAAGCCCTCCTATCAGTCTGTGTGTCTGTGCCGGGAATACACCAGGCGGCTCTTACTGAGATACATTGTGAAGGAGCCATGAGTGCAGACCTGTGGTACAACTCATAGAGAAGGGTGGAAGACTGGCTAGCACTAGACCAGTGCGGCTGCCACTTCTGTTCACTGCTTGAAGAAAACCTCTTTAGCTGTGTGAGTGACACCCAGAGAGGCATTTTCACCCCAAAATATAACTAGGCCGATTTCCATCGAATAAGAGAGTCTGTAACAAAGCACTTCAGCAAGCTAGTGCCTGGAGTTTTTCCTTGACAGAGAAATGCACTGACAATACCACGCCACAACTGCGCACTATGCGGAGTGGGATTTAATAAGGACAGTGCACTCAATCCCAGCCAGGGGGGCATGCTTCGCTGAGGGGGCTGTACTGCTGACACATACTAGAATGAATGACTACCAATGGCACACAGAGAGCTGGCTACTGGCAGGAAGGAGAGCACTGATCAATGTGACCTCCCCCTCGGGGGTTTGTCCTAAAAAGGAACAGATACCTTGGCTGCATAACTCCACATATCCAGCCGATCCTGGAGCCGTTTCTTGCACTCGGGCTGCAGCCGGACCACTTTATCTTGTAACGCTTCAATCAAGCAGGACATCTCTGCAGGACAGGAAGGCTCAGTGTCAGTGCTCACATGGACGATTAAACTACACTTTAATTCCACCAAATTCACACATTAATAAATTCTGACTGGGAATCCAATAACGTGTCATCGGTTTGTAGCTTAATGAGAAAATAAAAACCTGAATATTGTGGCTGAATTGATATGGCATATTTAAGCTATCATTGCAACAATCAGGAGAATATTATTTAACTAAACTGGATTGCAAGGGTAGGAAACCTTCGGCACTCTAGATGTTGTCGACTACGTCTTCCATTGACGATTTGCCAGCATTATGGCTGTCTGAGCATTATGGGAGATGCAATCAATCTGGAGAGCTGAAAGTCGGCTAAAGCCCTGCGCTTTAGCTTATAGCAGCACTGAACACAGAGACCTTTCTCCATCAACCCAGACAGACAATTGGAGACCCAGCGATGGCTGTACACAATGTGCAACTATGATATATTTCAGAAATTCTCCCTTATAGTTCTGATTACCAGAGCCACAAGAAGCGTGTTAAAGTAACAGATACTCACGCCTTCCTCTGCCAGGTGGAATCGCAGCACAGTGATGCTTTAAATCTAAGGCGCAGGCTGTGTGCAGGACAGGATCCACAAAAATATCAGCTTTACTCTCCTTCAGCATGTTCAGCACTTCCTGTCATGGATTCAAAGGGTTAAAGAGAATCTAAAAAGTCACATCCATTCAAGCAATCACTCTCGCAAAGAACTAGACTTTACCAAACTTGGCTAAAAGAAGACTACACAAACCGTACTTTAGGTTACCCACCAAAACGGAAAAACGTGAACGATAGGACCTTCCTTCCTTAGTCTTTGATGTATTAGTGAGGGCAAACTTGGCTCTAGTCTAAATGTGCTTTATTAAGGTCAATAAAAATAGGTGAAGGGATGAATGTGATAAACAGCATAAGGAAACAACCACCCCACGAGAACGTCAGATTCATTTACCTTTTTGCAGCCATTAGATTTAATTTTCAGTAAATTCATTTTCAAACATTCTTCCACCTGTCCTGTGGGTTCCTGGGCAGCGGCCTCTTCCCCGCACAGAGAATTAATCTGTTTAAAGATGAAATGAATTATGGACAAGCCATATACAAAACGTTCCACCTCCCCCTCAAGATTTGCACAATGTAGTTACCTCTTCCGAGCACTGGATCTGCAGCTGGGGATCAAGGCGGTAATCTAGAGCAGTTTCTTGGATAATTATCCGAATCTGGTCCTCACAGTCTGTAGATAATCGCTGGGAAACAGAAATAAAACAGTCACAAGCTGTTTTTTGTTTAATGGAAACAGAATACAAGCACACTTGTACAGGTTGCATTACAGTTTGGATGGAAATTAATTCTGGGTCGTAGAGAGATTGATGCTCAATAGAACACCCTAAAGTGCTAACTGTTTAAAAGTCAAAGCAGACCGGAGATAAAATAAAGGCTTAGTTATCGAACTAATGATTCTATTCCCCATTGCTCACCAGTTCTCCATATTTGACTTTCAGGCAGGAGATCACCTGCCCTTCCAGTTCCTGGTCATCTTTTGCATTATTCAGAATGCTTTGGCAGAATTTGGGGATGTCTGCTTTGCAAGATTTCCGCAGTAAAGGATTGAGCCGATAATCTGCAGTATTAAAAACAGATTTCAGAACATTGAAATGAGCCAGTATAGAGAGACAGGTAACATGTAACCACTCAGCAGAGACACATGGGCCAACAATGACAGGGACAAAAAGTGTAACCCGTCACGGCAGGAGGGGGTGGGGTACAGGGACCCGACGTATAACCAGTCACGGCGAAGGGAGGCACAGGGACCCCACGTGTAACCAGTCACGGCGAAGGGGGGCACAGGGACCCCACGTGTAACCAGTCACGGCGAAGGGGGGCAACAGGGACCCCACGTGTAACCAGTCACGGCAAAGGGGGCACAGGGACCCCACGTGTAACCAGTCACGGCAAAGGGGGCACAGGGACCCCACGTGTAACCAGTCACGGCAAAGGGGGCACAGGGACCCCACGTGTAACCAGTCACGGCGAGGGGGGCACAGGGACACAACATGTAACCAGTCACGGCGAGGGGGGCACTGGGACACAACGTGTAACCAGTCACAACGGTAAAACCAAAATTGTAAGTTTTTAATAAATTGTCAGCAGTGCAGATAAATCACTGTGTAGAAGTTAAATCTAACCTGTGTTTTGCGTAATCTGCCGCTTGGTGATCATCTGTTTGCATTTGGGATCCATGGTTTCAGAGTTCTTGTTCTGTTTCAGACAATGCAGAATGCCCTTTGAATCTGTATCGCTGCAAAATCTCTGTAAAAAGAAAAAGTGTTGACTTGTCGCAGAGGAACAGTATTCAATTCTACCAAGTGGAGCGATGACAGTCCAATCTATACCTTGATCATCTGTTTGCAGACCCTCATTAATGTATAATCTAGTTCCTGGTCCATCATTTCTGTCTCCTGGAGTTTGAAAACCTTCTGGTGGCATCGGGAGGACAGGTGTTTCTTGCCCTCCTTCAGACACTCAATAATCTGGAACAAAAACCAAATAAGAGCAGATCGGTCAGATCTTGGATGACTCAGCAGCACATCTGGCTATTAAGTTTTCCAGTAGTTTAAAATCAAAAGGAATGAAATAATATTGACATTATGGTTTATTGCAGGTTTGGTACCAAATACTCCATGCGATCGACATTATGTCGTCACATGTTTACAAAAAACAGTAAGCCACAATGTAATTCAATGATATCCATTATAAAAACCACACAGACTGGCTCTCCTGAGCTTCACAAGGATCAGTGCCACAACTGCTCACCTGGGCGTTTCCATAGGGCACGTTAGGACAGACGCTCTTGATGTCATTCTTACAGGCCTCATACAGCTCTGGCTCCAAACGAATGTCCTCAGACTGGGAGAGAAAGGACACAGTAAATGTCAGTCATTATGTGCCTGTGAACTACTACAACGTGATGTTTAATTAAACAGACAGCGGATTAGGTTCCTTGCAACACACAGTTGGATGTTTTTTTCACCCGCATGTGCTAGATTGTGCAGCGGTAGGATAAGAAATCCATCGGTAAGCATGGGGGCAATCATTACATTCACATTTGTAGGACAGTTCACAAAATTTCTCAGAACTGTTCACTCTGACAGTAAGTGGAGACGCTGCTCTTATTAATGGCAACTGATTTCTTGGTGTGCCGGTCATGTGGTGATAAGCAATAAAACGCTTGGGATCTATACAAGCGCCGGCTTCAAATACGGTGACATCACTGACAGCACAAGGGATACAGACTGAGGGTTTTTCAAGGTCACAGGCTGATATAGACGTTATTTGAATCCTGTCCAATATCCTTATGATCACACCCACCATCTCCAGCTCTTCAACCCTCAGCTGCTTCCGACACTTGAGTGAAACGCGTTGATCTTTGACCTCTTGGAGAGTATCATTACGGACAGTAGTGCTGAGGCAAATAACAACATCAACCCTGCAATGAGAACAGCGGCGATTAACAAGAATTGTGGATTAACGACGAGGTAGAACAAATGGTGACTAGTCATCGTGTGAAGGAATAAAGGAGACCTTTAAGGAATGGAAACACCTACTTCTTTTTTATATTTGGACACAGTTTGAGGACATCTTCTTTACAGGCCATTTTGAACTTGTAGGAGAATCTAAAATCTTTCATTTGGACCTGGCCAAAAAAAAAAAGAATAAAAATGCAGAAGATGACATGAAAAGGGGACACCTTATAAGACTGTGGTGTACACATGGTTAGAGTATTAAATAATGGCGAGCCGGTCTTACCAATTGGAAGTGAGTGACCCCCACGGCACACTTCTCGTTCATCTCCTTTTGGTGCTTATTCTGTATGAGACACTCCATGAGATCACCCGAGTCAATCTGATTGTCAGCTACCTCCTAAATGGGAGCACAGAGAGCGCGTCACATCCCACTAGGACAAAAGGACACAGTTTCCCAAATCTACCCCAAAGATGACCAACGGTCACTTACATGGCAATATCCCTGAATGATTGGTTCACAGGCCCTCATCAGAAGAGCTTCAATCTGTATGTCCTGGGAATTAAAGAGACACCAGGTATGGATACAAGTAAGAGAGAAACCGGTTACAAGACCCCATCCTAGCCAGTGCGGGCACAGCCCAACCCCATCCTTCAGCTCACCTCTGATTCCAGCTCAGTTAGGTTACCCACAACCTCTCTACAGTCCACAAGGAGGTCGTCCAAGTGGTCTTGCAGACACTCCAACTCCTGCAGAAGACAGACACAGAGTTTGCTGCAAGAGGAACGCCTGGAAACATTTAGTAATGCTCGGCAACATATTTTATTGCCATCAAGTGAAAGACACTGCCTTCTACAAAGGGACTGGCACAGTTAGAGGAACAAGATTAATGTGCAGTCACTACGCTCACCTGACCAGTTTCTGTCTTCTCATTGCACCACTTGCCCAGATCACTCATGCACTTGGCCTGCATCCCAGGATCCAGCTTCACATCGAGCGCCCGCTGGTGGAGAATACGGAGCACCTCCGCACGGCATTCACGAGACAGCTACAGGGGACAGTAGGAATACTTACATTGAACCACAGCACACACTGTATAACAAGAACTTTATAGGCATATTGCAACTCCGGAGGACAGTGTGAAATGGCCCAAACTGCCGGAACCTTTCCGGTTGCTGCATTTGTAAAATGTCAATAATTAGATTCTCAGAATTGCTGTACCGTCTGTGAAGTACAGAGAGCACTAGAGCTGTAGGTTTGGAAGGTTTTAATAAGTACAATGCATTGTAGCTGGTTAATCTCAGGACATCTCCAGCTCCTGCAGTTGGAAATGTTTAGTTTCACACTGTCCCCTGGTTCTGGGATGACTGGTAAGAGACTATTTCCCTGTGGTTTTCACTTTTCTTACCCTCCTTCCCTGCTCCTCAGTGCGGTAGGCATGTCGGTAAAGACAGGAAAACACAGCCCCTGCTGGCATGGTCTCACTGGTATCATTCCAGCCATGAGCAAAGCAGAGTCGCGAGGCGTCTCCTTGGCACTTGCGGTAAAGAATGGGATCTAGTCTGCAATGTGAAGAGAATCAGAGATTAGAACATCTCACAGCTGAGCAATCCTCCAAACCATAGAACGTTTGGTCTGACCTCAGCAGCCAAAGAGAAACTCATGTTTAATCTTACTTCCAATCACGGGAGATGAAGTACTGCAGTTCTAACAAGCGATGTTCACACTCTTCCACCATCTTCTCTGTGTATAGGTGTTCCATGAGGCAAGACAGGATCCTGCAGGAAGGAGAATGATATACGTTAGCTCAGGATGTGGCGCCAAGTGTTGTGCTCCACCACATGAAGAAACCCATACATGTGTAGACAGATTGTCATCTTCACAATCATGTGACACCATACATGGCTGCACACACTGCAGTTCTCCAATCCATGAGAAGCATCTGATACCACATAACCTCTGTATATTTAGTGCGGATGTCCGATATCAAACATATTTAATAATGGAGTCTCTGTATCCCTGGGCATTGCAAAATGTAAACAGTGCCCCAAATTCACTTCTTTGAGGTGCTTGGATTTTGTGGCTTATATAGTGTCCTTTTAAATACATATTCTGCTACAAAGCACAAGGTAAATGTGTTACCGCCATTTATGATAAACACAACCTTTCACATCAATCTAGATTTACCATTAGGCTGAAAATACAACCTGTAGATTTGAGCTACGTATCTCACAGGAGGAATGAAGGAGCTCAGGATCGCATTCCACTATAGAGTTTAACACCCAAATGCCTGTTATTTTGACATTATTTACAGGATTTAGTTACTAATCTGTGAAATTTGCGATATTGAAATGCACAATTGTTTTACTCCTCTTTTTGCAGACTGACAGATGATCTAACAATGATTGACAGTAGCGTGGATTTCATAGTTATATTTCTCATACCACATACATGTTAACTATTGGGGATGAGTAAAGATGAGGTTACAAATTCGGGGACTCTTTTGGTATGTACTTCATAAGTAACGCCAAGCCTCCATAGCCAGCCAGTAACCAATCTCATGCTGATGAGTTGCATTAACAACAAAACGGCTGTCCATGAGTGGTTCACTGGCTTTGCTCCTCTTCCTGAGTTGTGATTCAAAGCTGTTTATACAGCAGACACATACTCCAGGAATCCATGTATGAAGTAAAATTATGATGCAAATAGGTGGATCTATGTTGAGCTCATTTGCATACACCTACCCAGAATCCCTTGCAGTAGTGAGAGTACTGTTAAAGTGAGATTTCTGTGGGAAAAGCAAGTCTTATGGCTTGACTGGTGAGTGTATTTGTGTTTAGCAATGTATTAACCATCCACTTCAGGTGGAGGGGGTTTTCATAAGCACTTTTTTACCCACCACAATCTATTGGTGTGTGTATATATGTATATATCTCTATATATCTGCCACCTCACTCACCCTCCCCTCTTCTAACATCAGCTGTTTTAAGTGTTAAACTATCAGATCTATCAGTATTGCTTATTGCTTCAGACCTAAGAGGAAAAACTCTTGCTTGTCTTTGAAATATTATGTTAGTACAATACAAAAGGTATAATTGCATACTGCAATACTCTGGTATTTTGGAGTGTGTATATATATATATATATATACATATACATATACATATACATATACATATATATATATATATATATATATATATATCTCAATGCTAATTAGTACATTAATGCTTCCTCTGAAGGCCCACTCTCAGAACGAAAACAATTAACATGGCAGAAACCTGACACATTGTGATACACAGAGGGCTACACTAATACTCACATGGGGTCTCCAGAACGAATGTGCTTGCAGGCCGTCTGAATGACAGATTCGCAGGCTTCGTTCAAAGCGCGGTCAATGCGGTAATCATTTGCAGGGTCCACCTCCTGAACCAAGGTTTGGAGCTGAGAAATTGAGGGAGGGCAGTTAAAAACCAGTATGAAGGCACGTTGGACATGGAGTGACCAAGCAACACAAATCTAAACTTACCGCCGACTGACATTTCTCAGCAATGTTACCCTTCTCTCCACGCGCAACTTTCATAAGGCAGTGCAAGGTGCGCCCCTTCCTATGAAGTCCCGAGCAATGGTGTTCGATCTCCCCCCTGCAGCCCAGGATGATCTCCGGGCTCAGTGAAAAGTCCTCCATCAACATTCGCCTGTAATCCAGCATCTCTCCCTGGCACTCGCTGCTTACCGTGCGGCCTAGACCAGACAAACAAGATACAGAGAACAATGCTTGTGAGAAATGGCAGGAAGGCGAGGAGTACAGGCGCTAAACAAGCAGCACAACTAGAAAATGTATTAAAGGCTTCAATGGGCAATGAACCACGGCTCAGAGAAATGATGTGATTGACACAGGAGATCTGACCAGAAAGAACAGATGGCAACCACTTCTTAGCAACGTCAGAGGAATCAATTTACCAGTTCAATTGAACACGGCAAACCAAATCTAAACAAATGGGGTTCTCAGGATCATACCTCTGTGTACAACGGACTCCAGGCACAGTAGGAGGTAGGAGAGACGCGCCTCCCTGGAACGTGGGTGATTCTCAACATTGCAGCGGTATTTCTTTAGATCAGCCTTGCAGGACTTTGCTAGAGAATAACTTATTTTGTAATCCTGAGCTATGAGCTTCTGTCTTGTGGTGAGTGCATCACGGCACTGCGGGGGAAATAAAAAGGCATCAAGAAAACGTCAGCATTAACCTGAAAACTAGAGAAAGAAGTTGTATAAAACAAAACAAGACTTTGCTACAGGACAGCACAATAGGTTGACCCAAGACGGGGCACAGCAATATTGAAGCAAAACCAAAAGGGAACGCTCCACCCATAAAAAGTTAACATTTTCGCTGACAGAAAATTTCTAAAGCACCTATTAGATATTGTGACAAACTCCCCGTCCCACATGAGTTTACCTGGAGGAGCCTGCTTGCCAGCCTCCTGCCCACAGACTATGGGCCCTGCAGGGAAACCTGTAAAAGACTACCAAACCTGACCGACTTAGCACTGATTTCATGGAACTGTTTTGGGCATAGGACCATGTGCACGGTGGGTCAAAATTATGACTTCCAGGAAATTCCTGAACCCCTGAACTGATCTGGGTGATTTTTGGATATGTTGGTCATCCAGATCGGGTCTGTTGAGGACGTAACTTTTGTGGGGTTTTTATGTGTTTTAAAGGTATTTAGGGGGTTTTGTAATATTGTATGTTTTTCTTTGCCCGAAGATAGTTCCTGAACCACTCCATTATCTCTCAGGCACAGAGGAGTAGTTTGTAATTGGTCCCCTCTCAGGTCCAGAAGAGGGATAATCCTGTTTTCTGTGGGAGTGTCAGGTGCGTGCTTAACTGTGTAAATGTATAAAATCAGGCCATCTGGCTAGATTAAAACATTCCAGCTTGTACTCCCAGAACTACGTGTCGTCTGGTTACTGGGAGGGAAAGGGCTAATCACTAATCACTGTTCCAGTGGGGAGGATTCAACAGGGTAAAGTCCTTGTAAGGACTAGAGCTCCCAGGACTGAGTGTCGTCCAGTGCCTGGGGGTGTCTAGAGCAAACTCGTCATTCGGCTCCAGGACCCCAGTCAAGCCACGGCGACTGTGGGCAAGAGTGCTGAGGTTTGTCCCCTGTTCCAGCAAGGAAGCAGTCCTTGGCGGAGGTACCCAGTGGTACAGATGTGTTATATATGAACATTATGCTAAAGATCTACAGATGTACAGCAAAGTAGGGTCATGTGCAAGCACATGTAACCCAAAGTAAATTTTAAATGGACACTCCAGACCCCTAAAGCAGTTTCGCTTGCTGAAAAGCTTTATGCAAGAGTGTCCTTTTTTCATTTTAAAAAAGTGCAGATTTCAATAGGTTAACCTCAATTAACCTTGTTACACCCCCTGGCTGTCAGACAACTGGTCCCGTTACATCCTGGTTTGTTTAGCTCAGTGAAGATAAACTCAAGAGGCAGCAATTGCCCAGAGCACCTGCCTTGCAAAGACTTCTAATTGAGCTGCATTGGGTAGTCTGTGATTGGACAGCCACAGAATGTCTGGGCAGGGTTAGAAGGGGAGGGCTTGCAAAGGCTGCGGAGTGTCCCTTTACTCATTCTGCATCATGTGATCACTAATGGTAAAGAACTTCAACAAATATTACATATTTAAAATAATTCACTTAATTATCATACTGTAGACAGAATAGATGATGCAGACGGCAGTGACACAATATGATAGAGTGTGCAGTTATTTAGAAACTGGCCTAGAGACTCTGCAGTGTAACATACCCGCTCACTCATGGACTCCTCGAACTTATGGTTAAACAGACACTTGTACACTCTTCCTTCTCCAGCTTCGATCTGTAGAATGGCAAAGAGGACAGACAGAATATAAACAGACGTTCAGATTCTTTTTCTAAGTTGGCCAATGATGGCAGAAGCAGCATGCAGTCACAAGGTGGAAGAATTGCTGCAGTGACAGCTTTATACACGGTGTTACATATCTGATTGCAAGCTTTGCAAATGGCTCTGATGCAGTTGGTTTGAACATTTGCCTTTCTAGGATAAAAACTCCAAAGGGAATCTGGAGGTATTGAACACATCACACATTTGCAAAGAATGGCTTCTAGTGCACAGTAATATGAGGTATAGAAATGTGAAATTCTGATATGGATTTTAAAGCAATGTAATA